CTTAGACCGGATACATTCAAGTTATTAAAACCGTATGTTCTAAATGGTTGTCTGTCGCTTGGTTTGGGGCTATCACCATAGTGATTGATTGACTTAGAAACCATGCATACTCCTAAAGTATCAATAATTTCTAAGTCAATCAATCCATTTATTCAAAACCAATCGACATCGGGCCAGGGATAAGGACATTCGCATCGTATACAGGTTAATAGTACTTAGACAAAAAATCTATGCATGAAAAATCAAAAGCTTTAAAAATTTTAAAGCATAACACCAATATAATTAAAACCGGTCAAACGACCGGATGCTTCATAAATAAAAACAGCCGTTAAAATTGACGACTATGAAGGTTAATTGGCAAAGGCAGGAATTGTCAAGTTACCCGACCCCTTGGTTGGTAAAAGATACACAAAATACTTGGCATGCATGCTAAAAAAGCAAAATATTTGGCCGCATAAGTGATACCTAAAAGCTTAAAAGATCAAAAGAGGTTCTCAGCAGCATTGGCAGCCACCTTGTCCTCCGGCGACTGCTCTTCATTCTTCTCTTTCTTCTCCTTATCCCCCTTGTCCCCTAAGGACGAATCATCTGAGAAGTCGGACTTCTCATTGCCGACATTGGCAGCCGCCTCGTCCTCCGGCGACTGCTCTTCATTCTTCTCTTCCTTCTCCTGATCCCCCTCGTCCCCTAAGGACGAATCATCTGAGAAGTCGGACTTCTCATTGCCGACATTGGCAGCCGCCTCCTCTGCTTCCCACATGAGTTGAGAATTAAACCCATCTGCATCAAACTTGGTTTTCCAAATCCGATAATCAGCAGACGGCTGCAATGCTGCCCAGGTCGCACACATGATGGCGTCATTATCTTCCATCATTTGTTTGACCAAGGCCGTTTTCTCCTCCTCAGCCAAGGACCTATACTTGGCCTTGAGCTAAGTTTCCTGGTTTTTCAGTCGACCCTTGAGTTTGTTAACCTGACCCTCCAGGTGGCCAGCCTTTTCCCGCGCTTCCTTGAGGGGCTCCATCTTCTGCTTGAGTCTCTTAACCTCATTTTGGAGCTTAGTGATCCGCCTCTTCACCGCGTCCAAATTCTGCAGGACCTACAGGTTGACCGACCCCTGGGAATACATCATATCAAGAGTTAGCATCTCATTTTAGGCAATCTCAAACTGAGCTTTGTCTAAGGAGGAGGCGGCCCGAGCATTCGCTGCCTTTAGCTCTTTGGATTTGTTGTTGAGTGGCTTTTTAAGCCCACTCACTCGAAGCATAGCCTGCACTCGGCCGAAATAAAAGAAGAAATTAGTGAGAATTCGGCCAAATCATTACTCGACCCAAAGGATACAAGTTTTACCTCGCAAAGAAGTGCCAGTATGGCGTCTAGGTCAAGGGTTCCTTTGACAGACGCCTTGTCATCAGGATCAAGCGTCCTGAGCATTTTCTTGGCCATCTGTAGAACAATCGGCCTCACCGAAACCTCTATCAAAACAAGCAAAATAAGATAAGTAAGAATTTTGAAAATACAGTTGCATTTGTGGTCAGTGTTATCTAATAAAATAAGTGGAGTATGGTCGAATGTATTACCTTCCTCCACCCTTGTGGCGACATGTCGCCTGCTGCTGAGCCAAGAGCAGTAGTGAGTGGCTTGCCACTCTTCGATACTCTTTGACGAGTATCCGATTTTGTGAGGATCTTGACAGGGGTGGAGGCGCCAGTCCCCTTCTTTGGCTTGGAGGCGACATGCTTTCGGTTTTTGCTGACGTCACCACCCGACTGCTGAGAGGGAGAAGGCTTGGTCGAGCTACCCTGCAAAAAGTTCACATGTTAGTTGTGACTTTAACAAAATTTTAACAAGTAAGTGAGAAATATTTTTTACCTCGGGAGTTCCGACTTGTGGCTACACCTCGTTCGTCCGTTTGCCCAGGACGTTCAAATGGTAAAAGGCTGTCGAGTGTGCAGCCGACTTTCGGTGAGAAGGAACCTTCGACATTGCTAAGTCTGCACAATACGACAAAAGAGTTAAAACTCAGACAAAAATAATAATCATTATGAGCAGCTAAGAAATGTAAATATATGCGGCCTACTACCTCTTGGCTTCTCATAGCGAAGGCCACAAGCGGCCAAATATCTCCCGTCCAAGAGTCACTCGAAGCGGGGAATGTAGCTCTGGGGGTTCCCTCCTTTACCCCCGTCACCTCGTTGGTTCGAACAACCACCGATCCAATATCTCCTCTTGCGCTCGCCTTGGGACAGGCGGCAGGGCTTTCTTTCTAGCAAGGAGGGGCGGCTCCTTGTTCCAGCGGTTGTACCGCCTTTTTCTTTGGAAGTCTGGAGAGAACACAATATAAAACTTAGACCTCCAGTCTTTCCACTTATTCTCCTTCCCCAGCGTCATCATATAGCTTTTATGGCTGGTCAAATTAAAGCAACCGTCCCGCTTGCTTGTGGAGTCGTGCTCAAGTAATGCATATGAGCAAATACCTCGAAGCTGGGCTCCACCTCCAACATCTCACAGGCGGCTACGTAGCCCAAGATATTAACCCAAGAATTGGGGCTAGTTGTGATACCCAGCTGGTATCCGTCCAAAATTTTCTCCATAGTCGGATAGAGAGGAAAGCGTAGACCTGCCTGAATGATCGCCTCATAGCAACCAAAACACTGGTCACCATAGCTATCTTTCTCTGGCCAGGTGATCGTGTCCTCACCATCCGGCACGGACAATATATAACCATGTCCCATGACATGGGTTGAAATAAATTTGCCGAAGTCGACTTTCATCTTTTCCCGTCTACTCTTGGCGACGTGCAAGAAATAAAGTGCACACTATATTCGCCAAGATGTAGATGGCTTCGCCCAGCCTTCTCTGATCCCATGTCTACAGAGAGGGATTCTCGGGCATCCTCAATTTTGGACCGCACCTCCTCCGAGTCAATGGAGGCGCTGTCAAAAGATGATGACTCAGAGTCATCATCGGAGTTTTCCGCAGAGTCGGGGGTCTGCCGGTTGGTGCCAGCAGTGTTCTCCCCCATCTCGACATCCAGCACCGATTCACTTGGCCTGGAGGTTTGTTGTTCATCATCCGACTCCCTTAGAAATTGAGGAGCTCGAGGTACTAACATTACTCGGAGGGTCATAGCGAACATCAGAAATAGGCGCCCTAATGGAGACATCCGAGTAAACTGTTGAACTTTTTGAATGGTACCAAGTACCATCCGTCCTATACTTCCGACTAGTCTGCTTTGTTCTTGCCATGGTGTCCTGCAGGGGCACATACACTGTCAAATTTGGAGAAGTACTCAAAGGGGAGTCCTCGAACGAGCATTCGGCATTCGTAGTTCTAGATTCATCCGTCCCCGATGACCGGCTGATCGCTAACCTAGGCCGTGCCCGGTGCATTTGGGAAACCATTTTTGAAAAAGAAAATTGCAAAAATAAAGCAAAGAAAGGATCAGACGGTTAATTACCTTAGAAGAAGGTACTAGAAGCGCTTGGTCTTAAAAACTGCTGAAACAGGCGGATGATTGGCCGAGTGTCGGATGCTAAAGAAGTCAAGTCATTGAAAGTCAAAGATTCAAGATTCTCCCAAAGATTCACGTAAGTGTGAATCCAAGGAGAAGTCAAACCTCTATTTATAGGGGGTGAAAACGTGGGGTAAAACCCTAGATTCTCCCCAACAGTAAAAAAAGTAACAATTCGGCCAATCAGAGGCCTACACTTGTCACAGGCGTCACGTGGCATGCCACGTCACCCCTGTGAGGGGCAAATGATTTGGGGTATTTTATACCCCTACAAGTGGACCAATGAGAGAATAACATGTGTCGCTCTTAGAGGTGTCCAAATGGACTCCCCAGATGGACGACACGTGTCACTCATATATGCCCCCTGGGAATTGTGGCTTTCAAGGCCCAAATCCCAAGGGGCGCCGCAAAACAGCGCTGCCCTAATCCCTAGGTCATTAAACCCTAGGGTAAGGCACATTTTCCTAAGACCCTATATATAGGGAGATTCCCCCAATAATTGGGACACCTTGAAATTTTTTCGTCTTAATCTTTAGGATATTTATTGCTCTCTAAAACAGAGATCACCTGAACTCAGAATCCGAGCTGATAACCTATTTTCCGCACATTTTACTCCGATTCCGTACTAACTTAATCTTCGGAGGCGGACCTCCGACCATCCAGCGCTCCGTTTGTTTTGCAGGTTCAGGCGTCCTTGTCAAATCTAGTCTTCGAGTTGTAACTCTCCCAAGGGACACAAAAACACCCGAAACAGATTTCGGGTCAGGTAAATTTCGGGTAGGGTATATTCTGGTCAGATTAAAATCTTGTCGAATCATGTTCGGGCCATTCATTTTGTGTTGATATTGTGGGTGAAGCTCAAATCGATAATTTTATATGGTAAGTAAGCTCGATTACGGTTGGGGATGAAACCATTTGAATCATTTATGACACCAAATATAGTTAAAATCAGTTCGGGTCGAATACAATCGGGCCTGGTCATATTGAGTCAACTCCACTTTTGGGTCGAATATGGGTTGAGTTGGGTATATTTCGGGTTGTTGTTTTCGAGTCACAGGTTGGGTCAGGATTGTCAGGTATACTTTACAGTCATTAAGATGTTTAGCTAAGTTAGTTCAAAGCTAGTAAGTTTCATTCAATAAGTGAAGTAAAGAGAAACACACCCTCACCAAAAACAAATTGCACAAATAATACTCAAATTAATCCTTTATCCTATATATTTATAAGAGTAGTTTCTTACTAAATTTGATGTAGTTGAACAAAATCTTATACCACATTCATTGAAGACCAAGACTTTTCCTCAATCAACAAACTATACTATAAAATAACATAACTTCTTCACACCAAAGTAGGACCCCACTTGGGTTGAATAATAAAAACCACAATCAATAATTTAAATGGATATGAAGGATATGAAAACATCAACCCACAACCAAGTATTTAATTACACAAACAAGATGGATGATGAAGTTCTATCTATCTATCTAATATCTTTTAAAAGACCAGATGGATGTAACATGGTTGTGGAGCTTTGCCGGCTACTTATCACCATCTTTAGCAATCTCCAACTGGATATAATATCCCCCCAACTTGTACCCATCATTTTTGTGGGCCCTTTTTTCTTTTAGTCTTTCTGTAGACAGATCGTCCAACACCCCCACCACACTCCCCCTCTTGCATTACCGCGAATTTAAACCCGACCCGAACACGGCATTTACCACTAGCTAATAGCTATACCCCTCATGTGCTCCAACTCACATGACCCCCCCTTCATTTATCATTCTTATTTAAGTCTCATTGATTCTCCTCTCCCATTCAAAAAAAAAAGATCACAAATATAAGCTAGAATACCAAAAGAAAAAGTACTAAAAGAAGCAAGAAGTTTTTGAATTGAAGTTCAAATGGCTTTGGAAGTTGCCTTAGAAGATGATCTTTTCTTTGCTGATTTAAATAGGCAAATCTCTCTTTTGATAGATGACGACAACAATGATAACGATCATTATCCGGTTGCCCATCTTCATTCGATTTCTCATCAGGTAATTTCTCATCTTCAATTTCCTTCTATTTTTTCTCGTAAAGTTGTCACCTTTTATATGATATACTCTATAACTTTAGGTTTTATAAATAAGTGGGAATTATATATCCGGTTTATTGCTAACTTGGGGTTTGTTAACTTAACAATCTTATCTAGAAATACAAGGAGTAATATCATGTTTTTTTTTTTCTCTGGAAAATGATAATATTGAGAGATTAATTTGTACAATATAAATGAACTAAAATTCAAACTCGAACAGTTGACTAGAAAGACTTGCTAATGGTCTGTTCTTAATGATGTGCTTAATATTTCATTACACTTCCTTTTTTAAACAACTATTGCTTTTGGTTTTAATAAACAAGATATAAACATTTTTTTTTTTTCTCAAAATACAGTTATTTGTAAATTCGAGTTACTATTCCTCAAAAAAGAAAAAAAAAAAAAAAAAAAAAACTAATTATCCGTATAAAAAAATTATAAAAAAATAAAATAAAGTACTCTGTTTGATTAGAAAAGTCTTTTAGAAATGGAGGGAGCAATATTTTTTAAAACAGTGCGTGTTCTAATCATTTTTTTTTTTGTTATATGTTGGATTGACAGGAATATTTAGGATCAATGATTCATCATCCACCAATAATGCCCTCACAATACTTGTACCAACAAAATTGTAGGAGAGAAATTATGAGCAAGGGAACTGGTGTATTTATCCCACAATCATCTCAGCCAAGGAGGAAATCTAAACAAACAAAGCGTTCATCACAATCGTACACCACAAAATCGAACAACAACAACAAACAACAGCTTAATTCCAACAGAAGGGTGGGAAATATGATTGCTCATACTAATCTATCTCCACCGCCTTGTTATGCTACTAATTAGGTCAATAGGTATTAACCAAGTTTACTAATTATGGCTTGGAATTTGTAGTAACTACTAGATTATGCTAATTAATTTAATGGATAGCTATTAATTATTATTTTATATGATTAAGGATTGAAAATCAATAATTAATTATATATTGAGTATTCTTTTTAGATGATATAGCTAAGAATAGTGTTAAGGGGCAAGGCAGGGCAAAGAGCCAAGGAGTATGAGATTTGGTATATTCAAAATAAAAATAATACCAGCTACTTTATTTAATTAGTAGCCTTAGCTTGATTTTTGTAACATTTATTGGAGGTCTTAGTAATAAAGACTCTAAGACCTATTTTGCAATATTGTAAGCAATTTTTCTTGCTCTATATATAAATTCATTTTTATATACTTTTTATGCAATTTCTTTATACAAATTACATCAAGTAAATAAGGTGTAATATTGTTCGGAGTGAACATAAGAAGTATGATCTGAATTACATGAAATTTAATTTGGAACGTTGATTTTTATAAGTCTACCCTCTTGAGTTTTTCTAGATTGTAAGATCAAACTCTGGTATCTCTATAGAATCGAGTTGTGTACCCCACTACAAATATTCTCTAACATACGAATTACTCCCTCAATCCCTTAATTTTTGCTCCATTTGCTTTTATGCGGTCTTCTAAGTTCACCTTTGACCGAATTTGACTTTGATCATGTATTAGTAAAAAATTATAAAAGTAAATATTATGAAAATATTCATTACGATGAATCTAACAAGTATGATAAGTGGCCCTGGGACACACCCGCCACGAGTGTCCGGTTTATACGACCAAGAAGGTTCCATCTCAAAACCATATGCCAATGGCAATAAGAAATTTCTTTAGCCTTATAAAGTGGACACAATAATTATCTTTTTTCTTCAATGTGGGGTACACATCCCAATGTAGGGCCTATTCGGTATTAGCTTTTGAGGTAGTTGTTAGCTTTTAGACGTAGTCAAAACACTACCTTAAAATAATATTAGTGTTTTGTGAAGTAGTATTTTAAGTACGTGTTAGAGGTAAAGGTAGCTTTTAAGTAGCTGTTGTTGAAAGCTAAAAAAATAGCTTTTGAAATTGTAAAGTAGCGTTCAACCTTTTTTTTATGTATTTTTTTTTGATGAATATGTTTTTATCTTTTTGACTCAGTGTTATTTGTTTCGGTCAACCATAATGTTAAAATTTTCTATTTCATATCTTTTTTTTTCTTTTAATCCTTTTATTATGAGTATTATTTTTTTTTTCTTATCTTTTATTTTATAAATTGATTATTTATTAGAATATACATTATACTATAAAATTTTAAAAATTATCAAACATATGATACAATAATAATAATAATAATAATAATAATAATAATAATAATAATAATAATAATAATAATAATAATAACTGTATTTTATAGTTTCAATCGCTACTTTTACCGAACACTCATAATATGAACCGCTACCTTGACAGCTGACCTCTATAAGCTACTATTTTACAGCTCACAGCTACCTCTACAGCTCACAACTACCTCTATAGCTCACAGTCAACAGCTACAACTAATTTTGCCGAACAGACCCATAAACTCTCACTTTATACACTCAACTAATGTGGGACAACACACCACTTACACGTGAGTTTTTTCATGGGCTCAACAGACTACTGAGTATTAAAATAGAAAAACCATGCACTTCTAAGGAAAGGAAGATCGCTATGGACACTTTATCGGCCCTAGCTACTTGCTAGATCAATGTCTCACCTTTACAATGATAAAATCGCGCTACACAACTAACGATATGAAGGAAATATTTACTTATAGATCTAGATCGAGTGAAGATGCTCTTCACTTTATGGAATTCTAATCAAAACCGTTTTTATAGAACCGTTACATCCTTTGATTTCTACGTACTTCTTTGGTGCTAATAAGTAAGTATATCTTGTGAATCTACTTTTTGTTCCATGATCTATATTGGAAAGGTATAGGAAAATAGTAGTGATGATTTGGGTGTCAAGCTCAACTTTAATAAAATAGGTATATAATATTTGCTTAAAAAGAAATGTACTTGTATTTTGTAGGACATACATATTCAAGATGTATACTTGTTTCAAGGATGGACCCCATTAGGGATTTAGGGAGATATTATTCCCTCCAGCTTTGAATACTAGTAAGACTTATTGATCATGACACATTATTTACATTAATAATTAATTGTAATTATATTAAAAAGGAAGATTTAACAAGGGTAAATTTGTTTGTCTTTATTTTTTTTGGTTAATTGAATTAGAGAGTGGGAGATTGCTCTTAATTAATTACTGTGAGATCATCGTTAACCAATTAGGATTGTGGGAAGTTTTAAAAACATAACTAGCTAAATGAAATGAATATTGTAACGAGTAATATGAATGAAAGGAGTATAAAGTACGTATAATCCTAAGAGAGAAAATTTACAATACTAATTGAAATATATTAAAACCATGTAGTACTTGTTGTAATCGGTTGTTTCACCTCATGATTTTAAGATCATGGATTAATTTCCTACCAGTTGTAATTTTTAGGGATGGTGATTGCCTTATTTTCCCCTACCCCTTCCTCCCATTTCCCAAGAACATGATCTGTGTAACAATACCGATTCACATGTGAGAAGTTTCACTCGTGTTTATAACTAAAAATCAATTGCAATTATATTTTACACTTTTTCATAAGTCTAAACAATACGTAGTAAAGTAAAGTACATATAATATTTTACTAAATTACTTTTAATTTAGCTCTTATTCCTTTCCAAATTTCTTCTTCTGGTCGGATCTATACAATAATAAATCAGAAAATCATAATTTGAAGAGCATGGTATATTAATACAAGCAATTACGTAGTAGATAATGATAGAAGCTTTAAAAACAAGTGGAAGAGGTAGATAACGTAAGACGCGGGATTTTCTTGGTCTTAACATTAATTGTCTTCATCAGGCAAAAAGGCCCCACTTAAACATAGTGTAGTGGTGCCCAGTGGCGGATCTAGGATTTTCGAACTGGTGAGTCACCATCAATAACTAATCACTTGTTTCAATTCAAAAATTATATATATGTATATATAAAAAATATATTTCACCAAAATGATTTCAATCCAAAAATAGGACATAAAAATCCATACTACAATAGTACTTAAAAATTCAATCTTACAAGTCGAGAGTACGTACTCCAAATAAATAACATGTTACAAATAAATAGTACTATAAAATTATTACATTAAATTAACTTTATTGTACAAGAATTATTAACAAATTATACGCAGTACACAAAAAATAAAATAAAAAAATAAAATAGTGAGATAACTTAAGAGACCTGTTATTAAAATAGTGAGATAACTTAAAAAAAAATTAAATATAACAAGTCTCTTTAATGAAAAAGAAAGTAGCGCAACAAATATTCATATACAATGTCAGCAGAAAAGAGACCTGTTATCTAAATAACCGGTCTCTTTGTTATTTAAAAAAATCTGACAGCATTAGGCAGCAGTAGCAGCAAAGAGACCGCCTATCTATAATAGGAGGTCTCTTTGATATTTTTTTTGCTGGTGAGTCACGTGACTCACCATGCACCTACATAGTTCCGCCCCTGGTGGTGCCAGATTTTTATACAAAATGCAAAAATCCAGTTAAATAATATTCAAAGTATACAAATAATGAGGCTTAAAAGCTGGCAATGAGCTGCTGTTTTTCCACACATTACGACCTGGAATTACACGGCCACCCCGTGCCCACTGGCTAGGCGGTGTGATTGAGTATTGAACTAGTTTAGTTGTACACCTTGCTATGTCGGCTTATCTTTATTGTGCGTTTCTGTCCCGCAATTTCGGGCATTAATTTTTGTTCACTACTAATTTAATCTTCTCAGGGTGGAGCAAGTATTCCCTGAGAAGATTATTGAATTATTCATCAATTATCTATTGAATTAGTCATCAATTATTTATACAATTGATTAATTTAACTTATGGAGGGTGAAAGTAGTCAATATGGATTATATAACTTCGCATAGGAGTAAACTATCCTTGTTAAATTTTAAGATTATATGAAAGGGGTCTAAACAACCTAAACAAGGAAGAGGAGACTTCGGTCTACAAACAAGGTTCCATACTAAATCTAATTAGCGATAGTTAGAGTAAATTACTCTGCTTTATAAATAGATCAGCGGTACGTACCATCCCTCAAATTTCACCACTGAATTAATGCGGAATTTTGTTCTGCGACCTCGCTAATGATATCGTCTACATGACACACCACTACATGAAAACAGTCGATTTTCTGACTAAAAATTTCATCGGTAGTACCCTGCATTCCATCGTAAAACCCATTTCCGACGAAATTCCATCTGAAAATGGTGGTCGGAAACGTTTTTGTCGGGAAAACGACATTTTTCGACGGAAATTCTGTCAAAAAAGTCTTCCGCTAGAATTTCAAGCGTCGGACAAGATTCTAAGGCCCGGAAAGTCCGTTGGAAAATGGTTAAAAAAAGTCCACCATCACTCCTAACGTCACATCTCCACCAACCCGACCTCACACATTACACCTCCACCAGTGGACCAAGCCCACCTTACTACTACCGCCATCGGACCAGCCCCACCTTAACCACCATCCACCACAAAAAAAAAAAAAAAAAAAAAAAAAAAAAAAAAAAAACCAATAAAAAAAAACTAGATATGCAATCAGCCAAAAAAAATCAGCAAAAAAATAATTCTAAACCAGTAGATTGAAACCCAAATTTGAATATCAGTTAAAAAAAATAAAAAATTAACCAATAAAATATACAGAAATAAATAACTATAAAATTTATAAATTAATACGGAGTATTACAATTACATCACAAATTAGCTATAAACAGAAGTATTAGGAAAAACAAAGCTAGATCTACAACCTAACCTAAATTAAAACCAGATTTACAATACAAAAAAACTTGAGATAGAGTGCATGGGTGGCTGGACTCGTGCGGTTGACATTGCTCGCAACGCTCGCTGAGCTTAAGACGGTGGATTAGTCATCGACTCCTTTTCTCCATTGCTCGTCGATTTCATGTTCCACTAGACGGTGATGAAAGGGTGTGTACAGGGTTGAAAGCATGATTGTTGATTATGCGTTCTCTTTCAGGTAGGGTGTACCCAAAGTCACGAGCTGGCCCGAACTTGAAAAACCGACCAAAACTAGACATCTTGGATCGAACCAAAATTACATTGATGGATTCAGGGCTAGTCAGGTTCCTTGAAACTTAATAAATTCAGGAATCTAGATTGGGTAAAATTTAGAATATGTCAGGCTGACCAAAACCCGGTAAGTAAAGCTTTTTTTTTTTTTTTTTTGGAATAGAATAATTG